CCAGCCCCAGACAAGTTTTGTTGATAGCCACAGCTGTGGTTGCTTCTCGGGCAAAGCGCCCAAGGCTCCAGCCTCTTGCCCACCCACTCAGACTTGGCTCTGAAGCCTTTCCTCCGCTGGCTGGAGTGATTCCTCTGTGACCCAAACAAAACAGGGCGGGGGAGGCCAGCATCCCCATCTGAGAAGGATAGTTGGCCACCCTCCTGGGTGAAATTCAGCAGTTAGGGGGCACAAGGCAAGTCTGGAGTCTTGACGATTACCAAATTTTGGAAGTCGCTCAGGGTCACTCTAGTCTTTCCTTCGTCAAGGGAGAAATAGCATTGCGTTCTTACTCCAATAGTGTGGGACACGAAATAAGGCGTTTTGGCCAAGGGTTCCCTATGCTGACAAAAGCCAGATAATCTGAGAAGGAATTTATTTAGTCCCTGGTCTAGAAAGACCCCCTAGAGTATCCCTGAGGCCAGGCCAGAGGAAATGAAGTTCCATTTGGAACATCCCTTGTAAGCATTAGTTGGTACGTATGAACCCGGGGTCTGTCCTCACTCTGTCTTCTCACTCGTTGTAGTGATTTCATCGAACAAATGTTTTCCAAAGAGGAATACTTTCACATTCTCTTCACACTTCCCTCTAACCATGTGGCTCCTCCAATCAATGGCCCACCTTCGGCTGATGTTGACATATTGCTTTATTGACCAAGCCCCTGCTTTTCTCCATACAGTACACATTTATGACTGAATTTCTCATGGACGAATCTTTTGGTGATAAAAGAAGTCGTGTTCTGCAGTGCTGCTGGGACATGGCAGATTGACAGACGACTAATGTACCCATTTAATAGGAGACACCAGCTCAAATTCCATGTTCACCTTGGGGGAAGCAAAATTTCTTAAGAATTTAGTGTCTCATCAAATTTCCCAGGAAGTTTTTAACCAGGAAAAAAAAAAAAAAAAAAGTAAAATATGTACTCTTACCACACAGCCAGCTAGCTTACTTAAGCGTCGAAATTATTCAGGCGGCTGTCAGACCGAAATATTTGGAATGGTGCCAGTTTTGGCTCTGCTTTCTATAACATCTAAGGAATAGGATCTAGCAGCATAAATGAGAATCAATTTCTTTTTGGGTGATTGGAGGCTCCATAATTGAGTGATCGTAACAACTTAATTGATGTTAAGATTCACATGGATTTCTTCCTCACCACTCAATGAGAGTAATGATGAGACTCCCCACCCCCCATGGTAATTATTCAGGGTCTGTCACAGATTTTCTTCTTTTCACAGTACCTGCAAATGAACCTACATCAATCTTGTCTTTTAATCAGTGTTTTGCTTTATCCCAGATCCATTTCTCCCATTACCTTAGATTGTTTTTTATCTTGTCTTTCAGAGGAAAAAAAAAATACAGCATGTAGCCTTGTTAGATGTGATTCCCTGCCCCTCCCCCCAAAACATATTAAAATGAACAAAATTCTCCAAGAAAAACGGGGAACTTGAAGTCAGGAAGAACACTTTCCTTGGACCCATGTTATCCTTTTTATTTGGAAGATAAATTTTCCTTCTGTTTCATTTTATTCTGAAGGACAGGGTGAAGATTTACACAGTCTCTGATCAGATTCCTTCACGTGGTCTAAATGCTGTACAAAGTAGTGTATTCCTGATAGGGCCATCTGTCAAAACACCAGTGTCAAAACGAATCAATCTGAGTTGCGGATGTGTTAATAAATCCCTTTGAAGGGCTTAAATGTTTAATTAAAAACAAAGTCAAGTATGGAAGTCCTTTAAAAGCCACGTGGCCTGCTTTGTATTTTCTCTAGTAACATGTCCATTGCTCACATGGCTTTAAAAATGATACTGATAGAGTGTGACTAGCGAATGTTCAGGAAGACAAGCTAGTATCTCGTGTGTACGAAAGGAAGTCTAAAGCTTGAAAGTGCAACAGTCTCTGTTCATAAAATAGTTTGGAAAGAAAAAAGTCAGAGCTGTTGTACCAATGTTGTAAACCTGTCCTATTCAGGAGAAACATGCTCGCAGGTTGGAATTGGTCACGGGGATCCTTTACTGTAGTGAGTTTAAGGAGCTTGGTTGTACTTCCAGATTTCAAGAGCTGTTATGACAGCTCTTATTTGTGTTCTGTTCCGATCTTGGCCAGATCTGATGATTTTTGACTCTAAATAAAAGGCTACTCTGGTTGAACTGCCTAGAATTCATCTGAACAGGTATTACTACAAGAATGAATTCCATTGGGAATCTGATACTTTTCAAAATAAATGCTGTGGCGTGGCAGTAACAAAAGTAAATTAATTTTTTTTTCAAAAGGAAATCAGGGTTTAGACAAACTTGAAGTTCATGACATGATTAAAACAAAGTCATACGAGAATGTGTACTTTAAGGTATAATTAAATGTGAACCGTCGGGGATGGTAATGTTTTTTTTCTGTGAAATTCTCCATGGAACAACTGTAAATACCAGCTTTTGACAAGAAAAGCACCATGAAAAAAAAGAAGAAAAAACCCACAGAATCAAATTGTAGTCTTTTAAAATCCATAGCAGCCATGACCTTTACTGTGAAAGCTTAACTGCACGTTCCTTATCAATCACAACTAAATTAAAATGAACTAAGCAAAAGCACATACATTAAGCTTTGCAAAATTGTGAAATTAATATTCCAGCTATGTCACCTTCGCCTGCATCGGGATTGAGCAAGGGTGAAAGAGAAAGAGAAGTCAGTTCCACGAGTTTTGGAGAATGTCAGAGTAAGGATCCACTGAAAACTTTTATTTCTCCATTATTATTCATACTGTTTGATGTTGCCATTGGTCTCGGGGGCTGGGGGAAACCTCAGACAAGGGAGGGAAGAAAGAGAACTGCCATGAATAGAAGTGTTATGGCACTCTTGTTGACCAAGCACAGACCAAAGACAAGATGAAATAAAAAGTGATGGGCACATTTTATCCAAGTCTGGAAATGTGTGTCTGTAGTAATGGAGACACCAGGAGGTTTCTCTGCAAACCTAGTGACTCCATTCTTTGTAATTATCAAAGGAAGTCTTTTGACTGCTTTATTGAGTTGTCGCTGGCATCACCAAAGGAGGTAACTGCTGACATTGCCCCCCGTGCAAGGGCTTAAAAAGAAGAAAAACCGGGACAAAGTTTTCTTAGTTCTTTTTTGATTCAGCCTTACTCAACAAAAAAAAAAAAAAAAAAAAAAAAAAAAAAAAGGGAGGGGTGATATCAATATCAGAAAGATAATTCCTCCCTGCTGCCTCCTAAAAACTTAATTCTTCTAAAATCTGCCTGAAATAAAGAGGAGAGCAGACCATTTTGGGGCAGGGATTAGAAACCTCAGTGCCCCTGGGCAGAAGTGGCAGCCGAGAACACAAAAGAGAGAAATTCTGTAATTCTGTAACACAGTTCATGACTGATTTATCACCGAAGTCAGCTATTTGGGTACGTGGAGTGTGGTTGATGGGAGAGTGTAATGGTCAAAATGCCAAAGTCAAAGTGCCAAAAGACTTTCTCTGTAACGTGTCTGTGTTGATGTATCGTGTTGGTGTCTGTGTCTTCCTAGCTCATCACTGGCATCTTCAACGTCTTTGGTGTCTTTGGCCATCTTCCTTTTCAACAGGAAGCTCTTGCAACAAATTTGCCACTTTACCGCTGATTCTCAGAGAGACACAAATGCTTTTTTTCCTATGGACTAAACTGTATGATAAGCCTAAGTCTTTTGGCCACAACCACCCATACCGTAGTAACAAACCTAAATGAGTCAATGAAGGCAGAAACTTGCTACATTTGGTGCTAGTGGAGGAGGGGCAAGTGTTCTTGTGTTCAGTGATGCTGAGAAAAATGGGCGTAGGCTGAAGTCTCTGCAGAGATCCTTCCCTTGTTGACAAAAGGCTCAGCAGACTTAAGGCAGACTCTGCCAGCAACCGTGTGCTGGCTGCAAAGCACCCATGGTCTATTTTGGAAATAATCCTCCTGCTTGAGTGAACCCAAGACGGAGACCCAACCTGATTTAATTTGTTGTTTCAATGAGGCTATTAGAACAAATACCCTTTCGGCAGCTACTCGAACAGAAAGAAAATACTGTTACCTTAGCGTGCTCAAGAAAATATCATTCTCAAATTGTGTTTATGGGAGTCCTATGATGTAGCTTAACTGCATATTCCATGGAGGCTTGTAGCTTAGCCTCCACAATTATAATAAAAAAGCATTGGGCATAAAGCACCAACGAAAGCCCATCGTATTAAGATAGCTCAGGCAAAAATATTGGACTCCAGCTTCTCTGACTGGTACTTACCTGTCCATTTAGTTTCTTCTCTCTCGGCGTATTCATTGAGTGTACGTTCGAAGCGATTGGGTGAGTCACTAAAAAGGGACATCTCTTGCCAACTTGAATTCTCCCCTCCCCACTGTACAAAACTGAAGATGAGAATTAAACCCTCAGGCCTACGCACTCCTTCAACCCAAAACCCTACTTCTTAAACAAGCCAGAAAGTATGTAGGACAGTATTTGAAAGTTTCCTTTAGGATTCACTGCCACCAAACCATTTTTTTCCCTTAAATAAAAGATATGTCATTTAAAGATCACAAAATACACTTGTATACATTAAAATACTAACAAAGAATTAAATAGAAATAATTTTTTATTACGTTCGTTAAGTAACACAGTGGTATATAGAACACTTTCACATACAGTGGGTATTGTCTTACAGAAGTTATTTTTCTTTTAATAAATGAGAATTTTTATTTTAAAGCTTGGGCCATTAATGAGTTTTAAGAGTAAAATATCAAGTTATTGGATAATAAGTTAATACTTATAATTTTAAAATATTATAGGCAAATTCTGGAGTAAAGCAGCCATTCTAGAGGAGAAAACATGAAAAATTGATACGGAACACTTTTGTAGTCATCATTCATGTTGAGAATATCGAAGGCCAGCTACTTTTGGGTAGTACTACTGAAATCATAGCAAACTTTGCAAAACTGGACATATTAGGACGTTCAAGAGTAACTTTTGGCAAAAATGATCTAACAAATCAGATGATTGGATTGCAGATCTTGATAAAGGGAGAAAGAAGTGACTTTTTTTTAAGTGAAAACTCTTTGACTCAAGCTGTTTTCTTTCATCCTCTACTTGGTATGACATCAGATGACTTACTAGGACTTCTAAATTCTCAGAGCGAGCTTCGGTTTCAATGGTCACTGTGGCTTGGCATGAGCTCTCGTCTCAGACACAGGCACCCACTTTGTGGTCCCACACATAATGATTTTAATTTACTTAATTTTTCTGACAATAATACCAAAGGCAGTGGTCAACACTGACTTCTGGCTTAGTCCAGGATAATAGCTTGGGCTTGATTAGGAATTATCAAACAGTGATTAGTCCTTTGAAAAAACATAGGGCCCAGTGACCTGTCCCCCTACTGATTTCTGCCCAGTGTCCTCCATTATTTCATCCATCCGGATTATTTTGCTTCCTACTCTTGTGTCGGAAAGCTGTCATCTGCTCAAGCACCATCAGGATTGGTCTTCTATGTTCACCTTTAGAGCAGGATTCCTTTTATCATAGAAATAACCTCCCTCTTCTTTCTTTCTTCTCTGCAGTTCCAGATTACCAGGAACAGGACATCTTTCTCTGGAGAAAAGAGACTGGATTTGGATTTAGGATTCTGGGTGGAAATGAACCAGGAGAACCTGTGAGTCTCTTGTCTACCTCTTCCCCCCAGTGCTGTCTTCTAAGATACCAGAGCCAACCGGCAGCCGTGGCAGATCACCAAGATTTGAGCCCAGCTGCGTGCAGCACAGATCTGCCTTATCTCTGACAGTATGGCTCATCCACTGGATTCAAAGGGACTAGTTCCCTACTTAAAAGTTTATATTTGTGATGATAACAAGTGGCGGCAGCAGCATCTGGAGCTCCCCATGAAGGAAAGTGAAAACAAAAAGCAAAATAATAGGCATCAACTAATAAAAACTAATAAAAATAACCCTGAACGAAGGTCAGGAGACATTTAACCTTCTTGATCCTCAGGTCCCTCATCTTTAAAATAAATTTAGTATCCTATCACAGGACTATTTGGAAGGAGAAAAGAGAACTAAAGATAAATATTGTTAACTTCTTCATGATAATAATTAATAATAATAATAATAATAATAGCTGTCACTTATTGAGCACTTACTATGTGCCAGGGCCTGTGCTAATGGCTTTTAATATACATTCTCTCATTTCTCCATCAAACTCATGAATGTATCCCCATTTTTCAAATTATCAAATAAAGACAAAGAAGGGTTAATTGAGTTGCCCAAGATCATAGCATTAGTAAGTGGAGGGACTGGAATGGGTCTGACTTCAGGGTCCATATTCTTAATCACTCTTTTGTCAAAATTCTTTGTAAACTTTAAGTACTAGGTAAAGGTAGTCACAAGCATTATTGTCTACAGAAGGCAAGGAAACAAATATTTTAGCTAAGGTTTAATGAATGGTAAATACAACCAGACCCCAAATATAAAGGCTTCTCTGCATGTGGGTGCTAAAAAAGTACAGCGATGGGACATCAAACCAGGCTTTGCTGGATTCATTTCTTCATTGAACAGTATTTACTGAGCATTCCCTATTGCTAGGCATAGTGCTGGACCTTTAAAGAAAAGTAGTATTACTATTATAATTTCCAGAGTTTCTGGAAGGAGGGTTCCTAGGTAAACAGAAAAGGAGAAAAGATTTTGCAAATGACAGGGTAAAGTCATTTATTTCTGCAAAGAGGACAAAGAGTGAGTCATCACCAGACCACAGGTAAATGGAAGGAACCAAACAAGAAATAGTTACTCTTGGGACACCTGGATGGCTCAGTCAGAAGAGCATGCGACTCTTGACTCTTGTGAGTTGGAGCCCCATGTTGGGTATGGAGATTACTAAAAATAAGTATATAAACTTTAAAAAAAGGAAATAAGTTACTTTTCCACCATTTAAGAATTGTTATAGCACCTTCACAATGGCCTGGTACCCACTGGGTGCTCAATAAACGGTTATGGCAAGGATGCAGCCATGAATGAACGCATTGAATTGTTCTCAACAATGTGAAGGCCATCAGTATAATAGTAAATCAAAAGGTTAATGTTTCACCCGTCATCCACTTATTCAACAGATTTATATTGGTCACATCGTACCACTGGGTGCTGCTGATACAGACGGCCGCCTGAGGTCTGGGGATGAATTAATCTGTGTGGATGGGACACCGGTCATTGGAAAATCACACCAGCTTGTGGTCCAGCTTATGCAACAAGCTGCCAAGCAAGGCCACGTCAATCTCACTGTGCGGCGCAAAGTGGTGTTTACAGGTATGTTTTTCATTCATTCCTTTAGACAGCGCATTGTCACTTGATGCACAGGAAAGGCTTCCTTCCTGTGTCTGCCTCCTCGAGCATCTATTTTAGCAAATCTTTGCAAATGTGATTAAGCTCAGAATTTCCAGATGGTCTGCTTCTCTCAAACCCAGCAGAACTTCTGTCACTCAAAAGTACTTTAATGTGCCATTCGTGCATGTTCAGCAAAAGCTTCTAGAAGAAGACTAGTCAGATATACACTACCTCTGCTCATCCCCCTTGCCGACCAGAAGTTAGTCACCTTCTTCATTTAATGTTAATTCTCAACAAAAGAGGTCGTTCTAAAAGTCAGGAGAGTTGTAGCCTCAAATTAAAAGAACAAAAATTAGTTCTGTGCTGCCAGATAAGCTCATAAAAAGTGAATGATCCTTTACTCTGTTGTTGCCTGCATATGTAATCAAGCAAGATCTGTTTTCTCCATCAGAAAGGTGTAGAGGTGGCCAGTGCTAGGCCATCTTTGACCCCTTCCTCCTGCCTGCAGGCTTTCAGGTACTGTATGTGAGTTCTCCAAACATACAAACCCTTTCTGGCCCAGCTCAAATAAAACCTTCTCTGTGAAACCCTCAGAAATTCCCTCCTTCTTCCAACTGCCTTCCGATCTTGGCATTCCTTCCTTGCCATTCTTGTGAATCGTGGTTTACCTCTGTATCAGAATCTGCCATTTTGAGACAGTTCATTGTCTGTCTCCTTCCATTCACTCACCAGCCTCTTGAAAGCACACTTGGTGGTAGTTCCCCTGGGTATGTCTACAGCCCCCACCTTGAAATAGTGAAGACGGAATGCAGAAAAAAGCAGATTAAGCGTTCTATCACTTGAATTACTGAAGAAGTAGGACATGAAATCCTATCATTTCTTCATAGCTTTAATATTAATGAAACAAATACTTGCCAAATAAAATTAACTGGCACCTTGTTAAAAGTTTTTTGTATAGCTCATTTAAATGGCATGTCATTAATTATAGAATTAAGATATCAGATTCCAGTGTGAGAGTCCTACCTCAGTGAAACCAGGGAAAACAGTGTTAATCAGTCATGGATTATGCTCCAAGAGCTCATTTGCGGCCTCGGAGAATTTCTTAAAATGGTATTCCATGCGGCCAGAGGCTGTCAGTTAAAAATGGCTTTGGAGATGGCGATGAAAACTTTCTGACTTCACTGACCCAAATAAAAGTAATAGAAGCAATGTGATTTTTGTTTCAGATTTGTTTTTAAATATTAAATATTTGGGCTTTTTAGCTTTGGGTCAAAGCCATGTTAAATCTCTTAAGACACAGGAGACTAAGTACAATAAGCCAGTCACAAACATCGTATGAATTCACTTATATTCAAATTCACAGGGTAGTCAAATTCATAGAGACAGAAAGTCGCATGGTCATTGCCAGGGGTTGGTGGAGGGAAAAATGGCTAATTACCGTTTAATGGGTACAGAGTTTTAATTGTGGCAAATGAAAAGTTTCTGTAGCCGGATAGTGGTGACGGTTGCACAACATTGTGACTGTACTTAATGCTTCATGCCCCTGAGCTTTACACTTAAAACTGGTTAAAATGATAAATTTTATGTTACAGATATTTTCCCACAATAAAAAGAAATGTATGAAGGGAGAAGCTTTGAAAATAAATGCTTTACCCAAAACTCGAACACACATTTTGTTGGGAGCATCAAACCTAAGTGGCTCCTACCTCTTACTGTGACTTATTTAGGTGTGCTTTACCCTGTCACCCGATAAAGCAGTACAACTGGAATCCTAACGGAGGCTAATGTACCCAGGAGTGTGATCAGAGTGGGAAATGACAGTTGGAAACCAGGGAGAGAGACTAAGTATACCTCTGACAGGTGTTGTCAAGAATCCCACAATATGGCAACCTTAATGGCAAGGCCAACGTACAGGGTCCTGCCTGATGGAAAAATAAAAAGCAAAGCTGCTTGGAAGGCGGAGCAGAAATGTGACTTTTGTGGGCAGTGACAAGGTGAACGTGCACCAAGGTCTCCGAAGCGAAGGTGGCAGTCGTCCCTGGTGCAGGCCACCCCTGCACCGGTGTTCGTGTTCCTGTGATTTGTGCCCCCGGCAGTAGCACCGAGTGGGCCCCTCTTGCAGCCAAGTTGAGCCTGAGAGTGGGTACTGATAGGCCAGGTGCTGTCAGTGACACGAGCTGGGCGTCCCCTGGGGTGTTTTCACGTGGCGGTGGATACCGTGCAAGAGCCGTGTACCTTGCAGCAGCCCTGGCATCCGGAGCCTGCCGGGCCGCGGCCTCCTCCCGGGCCGCGGCCTCCTCCCGGGCCGCGGCGCTGCCGTGCGGGCCGG